AGTTTATAAATAAAATTTTAAAAATTGTAATTTTTATTCAAATATAATAAAAATAAATAAAAATTAAAATAAAAATTATTATTTTAATTTATTGCAAATATTTTATATCGAGATTCGTATAACATATATTATTTTATTTTATATTCAATTATAATTTAAAAAAACATTGGCAATAAATTTAAATTTATTTAAATATTTTTCTCAGACTATGTTTTATAGATTTATTCGTATCTAATAGATTTGAAATTTTTTAAATAACTCAATAATTTTTTCAATTTTTAAAATGAAGTGTATATAATATATATATTAAAGATATTAGAGATACATATAGATAGATAGATGTCATAGAAATATTAAAACAACATCTATTATATATAAAATAAAGCTTTATCTGTCAGCATTAATTTCACAGTTCACATGAAATATGAAAATAAGACTTTGTTCGTGTTAGAAGTAACTTTCTATCAGGAAGTATCAAATATTTAATCGGTTTTTATTGGCATGTTTTATTAAAAATAGTATTTAAATTTCAATCGGTTATCTCAACACATTTATATTAAATTATATTAAATTCACTATTGAAATTTTTCAAATTCCTTGATGCATCTGCCATTTAATAATAATAAAATAAGTGTTCAATCAAATATTTAACATGAGAAAAATTGTGACACTAAAAGATATAATAATTTTCCATTTTGTTCAGTTTCTATATTGTTCCGATTTAATTTATCAAAGAATTGATTGAACAAATTAAAACAAAGAATTTAGATAATAAATTTTTATTAATTAGACGATACAAAGTGAAATATCTGAATGATAAGATACAATTTATCGACAGTATTGATAAATAAACTATTGATTTCATCGATGATGAAATGTTTCGAGAATGTTAGTGCCATTTCCTATAAGTTTCAAGTATTCCTTTAAAACAATTAATCAAATCAAATTTAAATTAACTAAAATCAGACGAATCGACCGACAGATCGCTTCGGTGTTCAACGATTCGATGTATCTTTGAAAAAATATCCTTGAAACGTGTATCTTAACATCATACGTGTTGAAAATCTAAAAAAATTTCTCAAACGTATGAACAGAGCTTAAATAACGATCTCGATAAACTCGTTCTCCCTTTTTCATCATTTCGAAGTCATCGACATTTCTCCTGTCCAAATTCTCTCGACCTTAACATTTAATCCATCCATCCATCCATACATGGAAAATTGAAACGAGGACAACTCGGAACTACGAACTTTGGACTTTTAACCACGATTCGGAAAGGACAAGTTCCAACTCGAGTTAAATAATTATCTTCGAATCTTTGGAGAATCGTATCTCGGCCGAACACTGATTCGAACACCGATTCAATATTCAAACAGATCGCGTTGAAACGCGTGTTCGATATCGCGGTAATACTCGGGGAGTGTGAACAAAGCCTAAACGGGTTGGAGCAAACGCGTCAGGCGGGCGGACAGGCGGGTAGACAGGCAGACAGACAGAAGCTGGAGCACCTGTCTGTCCCTCCACTCTTCTTGCACGGCAAAGAGGGGCCGGCAGTGGATACCTCGTGCCGTGGTTCAGTACCTCGTGCACGCTCACGCTGATAAGACCTTATTCTAATCACACGTCACCTGGTATCGATAGTCGTGCGCGGATCTATTACGTGATTTCTCACGTCCCGTTTCGACCTAATTCCTTCGTGGTCCTTCGACCGATCTCCAATATCCGCACGCGTTTCGCCCTGTCCTCTCTCTCTCTTCCTCTCTTTCCCTTCCTCCTCTTTCCTTTCCTTCCCTTTCTCTTTCTCTTTCTCTCTCTCTCTTTCTCCCTCTTTCTCCCCTCCTCCCCCCTTCTATCCCACTCCGTTTCGCGTGCATCATACCCATACAGGTGGTCCTCCACCTCGATGCAGCGGATCGCACAGCCCGATCCAGGAATTTTTCCGGATCGGTCAATCGAACGCTTAGCGGTCGACTCGCCTCCCCTAGCTCGCTTCTTGCTCCTTCGAATGCGTAATACGTAATTATCTCAAGGCTCTCCCTCCCTCTCTCCCTCTTCCCCCCCACCCCCTTGTCCCGATAGTCACGTACGATAGGTATACGTATCACGGGGTGGTTGGGTTGGCGGTGCACACGGAAGAAGAGAAAAAGAGGCACGGGATGCACCGTGGAGGAAATGTATTCACGTTCCACACCGGTTCGATATCGAATTCGATGCAGGGCAGAAGAGAGACACGCAGCAACGAAGGAGGATCGTGCCGAGCCGATTTTCGTCCCGTACTCGTGGATTCGTTGGATTGGGATCGCGGCACTGCGTGTTTCCGCGGCGGCGATGGATTGGGAATCGATTCTGCTCCCTGTATCGTTTAGTCTGCTTCCGACGTTCGAGTACTAAAGTCGTTGTTGCCGCTCTCGTCGGTCGCGCCGCGTAAATACGATCGGCCACGTGTTCGCAGCGTTTCTCTCCTCACTCGTGCCCTCCCCCCCTTTCCCCTCCCTCCTTCTCCCCTCCCAGTACGAGGAGAGAGAACATTCGATCGTCGATTAGAAACGTACGGTGGCGCGATTCGCTACGCCCGTTTTCTCGTTTTATCGTCACCACGTGCAAATGCGACATAGCCGGTGGACGTCATCGAGGAAGGCTGTTGCACCCGTCGTCCATCGAAGGTCGAATATCGACACTCGCCGGCATGGAGAAATTAGGTGAACCGCTCGAGCGAGAATTTTTTTCCCCTCCATTGTACAATGTAACAACGAAGTGCGCGGGGATCGTGTAAGTTCACGTGTATCATTGAGGAAAGGAACTTGGTCCGCGGCAAGAATTTCTGGTGTTACGTAACGGAGAAATAGAACGAACGCGATCAACGCGTGTCGGGTGACGACGGTTTTCTTCTTTCGTTTTTTTTTTCTTTTCTTTTCTTTTCTTTTTTTTTTTTTTTTTTTGCTTCCCTTCCCTTGTTCCCCTCGGAACGTTCGAACCACGATAAGAAGGGGGATCACCACGTGTCGATTCACGTTTTATACGTGATTTATAAGTGCGATGTTTATTAAGTTCGACTCGATAAATATACTACGAGTTCCGCGAAAAGAATCTTCCAGTGAAAGCGAGATCAGCGCTAAGTGTTTGTGAAATCGTGAAACTGCGAAACCAACCACGTGTGTGACATCTATTACCAAGGTGGATCGTAAAATCGTAAAACCGTGCCTTTTGTTTCTTGTTCTGGAGAGGAGCGAGGCGACGATTTCTCGACACGCGAAGCGCGATTTTCGTAGGAATCCTCGTTTCATCGATCTGCAGGGAGACCCAGTTACGCCTCCTGTTGAATGCAATTTATCGGATTAAAGGGGAGCTCCACATGAAATTGGTAAGCGATGAAATTTCTCGTTCCACTCTATCATTTCTTCGATACCTCCGTATCCTACCATCCTTCTTCTTTATTATGCGATTCGTCTGGGTAGTAATCTTTCCTTTCTTTCTTTTTCTTCACTACGTATCGCGTGATTGAAGGGCATAGATTGATTTATCTCGAAAGATTATTTCGAAGATTTTAAAGCTAATGGTTAAAGCGTTCTCGTAGCGACATTAGTCGTGCGTCGTGTTTGAGGTCTTCTCTCTACGACCTACGACGTTCGCGAGAATGTTGTGTGTTTACTTTTTTTTTTTTCCTTTCCTTTTCGTTGGAACTTTTAACTGTTCGGATTTAGAACATGGAGGGAGAAAAATTTGTATCGAGAAGAGAGATATCGTTGATATTACGGTTGTTTACTTGTCTTGCCTTGGCATACTTTTTTAACGTTTCGTTTATAACGAGCAAAAAAAGAAAAAAAAAAAATAACGCGATTGCAAGACTACGTATGCACGCGTTTACGTATTTATGCTACGCAATATGGCGTTTTAAGAAACGAGTGCTTTATGCAAATTTCTCGTTCCTTGGCTATGCGTAATTTATCTTGTTACATTCGATCGGGATTGATTTAAGCCATATCGAATGGATCGAAGAGAATTATATAGGTAAAATCGGGAAAGGACGATTTCACCGTGGAAAAATATTAGGAAAAGTGTTGCAAAATACGATATTTAAGATGTAAATGAAGAAAGGAACTACGGGTCGGGATCGTTTGATGTGTTAATAGCCGGTTAAAGTAGAAAATTAATAGGTAGACGTTGGAAATAAAATAATTACAGAAATAACCATGCAACGGTCGTATTTTACAATGTGTCGAATATCAATCGAAAAAATTATGATTAAAAATTTAATTCAAGATTCAATTACAACGGATCGTACATATATATATATATTGGAGAGAAATTATCAAAAAATTATTCGAAAATATATATGCAATAAATAACTTTTAATAAATACCAAGTTGCGAATAAATTTTAATTTCTTGATTACCTTCTGCTCGTTAACAGTAGCATGCCAGTGGCATTTTTTAATTTACGTTTCACCTCAATTTTCTTCTTACTTCTCGAAGAAAAAAAAAAAATTTGCCATCGAGTTCCAACGAAACAATACATTATCGCTTACAAATCATCGACAAATGAAAAAAAGAAAAGAAAAGAAAAGAAAAGAAAATACCGCTACAAATATATCGCGAAGAACCGATCTAATACGACGTAATAACGAGTGCAATTACTTCGAATTCGTATCAATTAAGGTGCACATAAATTACATTTTTCTTTTTTTTTTTTTTTTT